AAAAAGCTCCCCCCCCCCCCCCCATTTAATTTTAGTCTATTGATTCTTCCTTTTGATTTAGGACTAAATATTTTATATTTTTGTGACTAGGTAATTAGTTTAATTTTACAACTTAGGTTAATTTAGGAGTTAATTTTAGGATTTTATTAATTAAAGAAAGAAAAAGAAAAACAAAAGAATGAGGGGGAAAATGAAAAGGGTTGTTCTTTTTTTTAAAAGAAACCAATTGGGCCAATAGGTTGTTAAGCTCAAATCCCTTCCATTTCACCCAATTTTCCACCAGCCCAAAGACATACCCGCACGTCTACCCCCAAACCAGACCCATCCTCAAATATATACAAGCAAATACAGAGCCCTAACTTCCTAAAGACCCAAGAGGTTCACGTTTGATTTCCGTGTGGGAGCTTGGATTTTAGCAGCTGTTTTTTCTTCTCAAGTGTGTCGCCAAATCTTCTTCTGCTTGTAATCGCTTCCAAACATATTTAATTGAAAGAAATCTAAGGTTCAACTTCTCCTCTTTTCTTCAGTTATGTTTAAAGGCTCGATTCAAATATGAATAGAACCAGGGATTTAGTAGGGTTCGAGGATGTTTAATTCTTGTTCGTTTAAGATTCAGTATGGATTTGTGATATTAACTTATGAAGCTCGAATTTGTTTGTGAGTCTTATGATTGCTGCGCTTTTTATGAACATTTCAACTTGTTCGATTGAATTGGAACTCGGAAAAATGAACTCTAAAATCATTCTTTGATGTCCTCTGTCGCATTCTTGCATATGTTCATATTATTTCTTTGTTTACAAATGAAAGATAATTTCAAGCAGCCCTATACTCGATACTTATTTGATCTTTTGGCTATTTGCTTGAATTTAGGTGTCAACTGAGTTCTTTGAAATTGTTCTCTGGTGTTATCTGCCCGTCATTGGTTTGGTTGGCTTCGTTTATATCCTAAGAACTGTACGAATCTTCGAATCTTAATCAAGTCAATCCCAGTGGTTTGTATATTTTTAATTCCTCATTCGATCATGATCTCTCTGATGTCACAATTTGATTTGGACCTGAATAATCCCCTGCCCTGTTTCTTCTCCATGACTGGCTGACAATCACTCCCTTTCTCTTGGTTTGAATCTGCCAGTTAGCAAGATTAGATTAGTGTGGTGCATATTTTCTGCTTTTCGAGTCCAAGTCATGAATTTACTGAACAATTGTTGGTTGTTCTCCTGTGTGAAAGACTGAGAATGAATGTGAACATTAGCCATCCGACATCAATTCCATGTGTTTGTTATGTTCTGCCTTGAGATTATAATGCAATTTGAAGGATCATTTCATGAATTTTCTGCTGAATCTTTATTTGTGTGTATTTGCGAGTTTAAGCTAGGATTTGCTTTTAAAAATTGAAATCTGGTATTATTGAATTCAGTACCTTCAATCATGTTGCTATTGTGACACGAACACAACCAACCTTAGAAAGTGAATACATGCTTTAGTCCATTCATCTTGTACAAGCTGCCTCACACATTCACACTCATGTTTCATTTGTTGCAGTTAAATAATCTTCAACACACCTCTCTTTCTCAATGCTTCTTTTTCTTTTTGTTGCCTCATTGAATTTTTACTAGGCTTCTGGTAGAAGTTTGAGTAGCTCAAGGTTATCTTGTAAATGCTAATTTGTCACTTTCATGGAAAGCACTCGTATTTGTGATGATAAATTGCGGTGTGCATTGTAGCATAAGATGAGTTTAATTGTGATGATATTGACAATGAATAAGTGTAAGTTGCCAATAATGTAATGCGTGGTTATGTTAATTTGGTTTTTTTTAAAACTGCCTGGAAGCTTCAGCTGTTGCAGTAATTTAGAAAAATGATCTTCCTTGTATGTTTGGATGGAGTCAGTGTTTGATTCTGCTAATCCATTTTCAACATAACTCTTTGCAATGACTAGTTTTTTTAGAAATTCAAATGATGGTTTCGAAATTGGTTGGCCACTATAATCTTTTACTTCATTAGAGGATCTTCACTCCCATCCCTAGTATAAATGTACAGAAGCTCAAAAACTTGATTTGTATTTCATTTGGCATTAATCTCAGCTTGTTAAGGTTTGTTGGTTAGTTGCTTTACTCCTTTTCTCATCCATCTTCACTCTTCCCCTTCATTTTCTGATAACATGATAGGCGGCACTTTAATTGGGATTGGAGCTTTATTTCCTTTTGTTTCTTAAATAACAATAACATTGGTATGAGGATAGGGTTCTAAGGGATGAAAGATTGCAAGCCGCATGATAGTAAGAGATAGTAAGGCTTGTTGGAAAATGGCATTTGTTACTGGATAATTAGTGAAAGGCATGCCAACTATTGATGTATTCATGAATACTCCATTGAGCTTTGGCAATTTCTTTAAATGCTAATGCTATTCCTTTCATGGTAGATTACTGTATTGGTATGTGAAATATGTCATGTATTAAGGGACTTCCTAGTAACATTAATTAATATTTGGTTTTCTGTTGTCTTGTTGGAGTATGTAGTGATTGATCGAACCTCTACTTTTTCATTTTGTTGCTTGTTATAGAATACTAGGCTAAGCTGCTAATAATCTTCTTGCAAAGTGACATGGATTCTTCTGTAAAAACAAGGTTCTTGTAATCATGTTTTTTTTTTATTTCGCAAATATAGATGAGCTAGTTGAATCGCCTTCCTAATAATAAAAATCTCATGACTACAGGTACGGTTCCCGTGACGTAGTTGCGGTGATTAATTTCATATTAGCTCCAAATATGAATATCCTAGTTCATTTAGTTGAATAGTTTTGAGGCGTGCCATGCGTACATTTGAATCATATAATCTATGGCCCTCAAATGTTATAACTTAGATATTTAAAATGAATCTCGTAGTTTGCTTTAGGCACGTAATTAAACTATCACAACTACGGGTACGATTCCCGTGACGTGGTTATGATACTTGGTTTTTTAAATTAGATATAAGTAGGAGTGTTTTTGGTTTGCCTTAGCTAAGCACAAATTCTTTTTCCTAAAATAAATTGAGGTGCTCCATACGCAAATAAAATCCATAATGTATGGCCCTCACATAAATACAAAAATTTGTACAAAAAAAATGCCTTGAACTTTCGTAGTTTGATTTAGGCGCATTAATAATTGTCATAGCTACGGGTATGGTTCCCGTGACGTGACCCCGATTCTAAAAATCGGGGGTACATTTATGTGACCCGACCCCGATTTAATTTTGTTAATTAAAATAAATATGTTGTGGATTGTGGGTATGGTTCCCGTGACATGATTCGCAATGTGTAATCAATAATTAGTTGTAATAATTGGATTATTAAAAGCGGTTTAAAAGGAATAAAATGCACATAGGTTCCAAAAATGTTTTAAAATCAGATAAATAGGCCAGTAATAATAGTTGAGCGACCGTGCTAAAACTATAGAACCCGAAAATGCCTAACACCTTCTCCCAGGTTAACAGAATTCCTTACCCGATTTTTTGTGTTCGCGGACTGCAAAACACAGTCAATCTTTTCTCGATTCGGGATTTAAAACCAGTGACTTGGGACACCATAAATTATCCCAAGTGGCGACTCTGATTCATAAATAATAATCCCGTTTCGATTGTCACTTAAGTTGGAAAACACTCCCTTATACCTCTTTCGGGGTGTAGGAAAAAGGAGGTGTGACAACCGTAGGTGCGAAAAAGCTAGGTCAGAAAGTATAAAAAGATTTCCTTTGCGAATTTGGGTTATTTTTCATAATATTTCAACGGGAAGAAACTTTGGAGAGCAAATTTCAAGGGAGATTTTCATAAGGATTCATTGACGTAAAGTCTTTGGTCTTTAAGCTCGTTATTATGGTAATTTTTATCATTGTAAGCATGAAATTTAAAGAAAAATCAGTGGTAAATTAGGGGTTAGGGCTTGGTTAATTGGAGAGCTTTGAGTGATGATCTGAGGGACCGTTTGGGGTCCAATTTTGGTGCTTTTGGTATGAATGAACTCGTGAGAGTGTGAGGATTCTGAATTTATAAATTTTACCCGATTCCGAGATGTGGGCCTGGGGGCGTTTTGGTCATTTTTTCTAATTTTGTGTATTAGCTTAGAATTAATTAGTGGAATCAGTTAGTTGAAGTTATATTTACATTATGTAATTGATTTGAATAGATTTGGGCCATTTGGAGTCGAGTACTCGTGGTAGGAGCGTGGTTTCAGGTTGATTTTTGAGTCGGTTCGAGGTAAGTGGCTTACCTAACCTTGTGTGGGAGAACTCCCCTTAGGATTTGGTATTGTTGATATTTGAAATGCCTTGTACGTGAGGTGACGAGTGCGTACTTATGCTAATTGTTGAAAATCCTATTTTTATTTAGTAACTATAATTGTGTTTCCTTTCCTGTTTATACTACTTGCAATTTAAGCATGTTGTTAGCTTAGGGAATCGTGTCTAATTGACTTAATTGCTTTACTTGCTCAAACTGCCTTATTTGAATTATGTGCAGCATGCTAAGTTAGACATACCTGTTTTACCTTGGTATGAAATTTGAATTGAATTGAGTATTTTTTGTGTTGCTGCTGTTTGTTTACTTTGGGACTACGGGATGGTATCCCGGTAGATCCCCCTGCACATTTATATTGGAACTAAGGGACTGCACCAGGTAGATTTCCCTAGTACTGGGTATTTACATTTGGGGACTACGGCTCGGGATTCCGGTAGATCCCCGATGCACTATGAGTTGGACTACGGGACGACACCTGGGAGAATCCACTGGAAATTTATATTTGGGGGCTACAGGACGGTATCCTGGTAGATCCCCGATTTGCTGGATATTTACATTTGGGGGCTATAGGACGGTATCCTGGTAGATCCCTAATTGCTATCTCTGTGTTGAACTGTATTGTTTCTGTGATGTTTTTCTCTGTTGTATTTTTGTTATTCTTATTATCCTGTGTTACTTCATACTGTTAGCATTTAATTATATTGTCATATTTTATACTTTTTTGCCTCGTTTTTCAGCTATAATCAGTAGGGCCCTGACCTTCCTCATCACTACTCGATCGAGGCTAGGCTTGTCACTTACTGAGTACCGTTATGGTGTACTCATGCCCTTTATGCGCATGTTTTTTATGTGCATATCCAGGTTCTTCGGCTCAGCCCTACTACCCCTGAGGCGAGGCGATTCTTCAGAGACTTCGAGGTATATCTGCCACGTCCGTAGACCGAAGAGTCCCTCTCCATTCTCTCTTGTTGTTACAGCCCATCGGTATTTACTTTGTTTTAGACATTCTGGAGTTAGCGCACAATGTAGGATCCTTAGCATGTGATTTCATGAGATTCCGAGTTTTGGGAAGTTGTTCAGTTTTTGAGATCTTGTATTAGTATATGCCGAGCGACATCTTAAACGCTTCTATATTTGTTTATCTTCAGTTTTATTAGTTTTTCGTATTTTGTTTCTTTTTCCGCAATTGTTAGGCTTACCTAGTCGTAGAGACTAGGTGCCGTCACGACAGTTCACGGAGGGCAAACTTGGGTCGTGACAGGTATGACCACAAGATGCACGTGAAATTCTTTATAAGAGTGAGCAAATTTTGTTCAATTGTGTGATATCCTTAAATTTTGTTCAAGGTCATACGTGAATGTGTAGAATATTCTATATTCATTCTTTTGTTTGTGGTGAGGGCACATGATCTCATGAAGGATTGGTAATGTTGTAAGCTTCTTTTGTTAGGTGAGTGCGCGAGTTGAGGATGCTTAGTGGTAACGAGTCGGCTCTTGAGGTAGGGTGGTTACGGATAGGTTGTTTGAATTGATTGAATTAAAGTGATATACTTGGGCATGTTTAAACGGAAAGAATGTGAATTTTATATGTTCATGCTTGATTGCCGTGTATGGATCATAGTCAAGGGTAGCGTGTATGGGTAAAATATTAAAGTGCTCCTCTCTAGTTGAGATGTGTACGTTGTTAGGGTGTAGTTGATAGTCCCATTGCTCAAGGAAGAGCAAGAGTCTAAGTGTGAGGTGTTGATATTTAGCTTAATGTATATATATTTATATGTATATCGCCTCATATTTTACTCGTGTTTCATAGATTTCGGATGTGAATTGTATTGATTTATGCTTATTCGTATTATTTTTATATGTAGGAATCATCCGGAGGCAATAGAGGGCGAAAGGTACGAGATTAGAGTAAAAAAAAAAGAAGCAAAAGATGAAAAATTAGCCATTGTAACGCCACAGGCACCGTAGGGCGCTACCTGCGCCGCCATATCCATAATGTTTAATTTGCCAACGGCAAGCGCCACAAGCTGCCCTGGGTGCTAGTGACGGGAACTTCTCCAACTTTGCCGGGGACAAGGTTATTTCGGCCCAAGACCTACCCAATGCATATAAAAGCAAGACTAAGCCTATTTTGAGAGGGGTGGCGCCACTTTGATGGAAAAATACGCACGAGGAACACCCGGGAGCGAGGATATCTCAGTTTTCTTCATCTTTTCTTAGTATTTTCAATTATTCAACACTTGTGAATTTGTTTTGATATTATCATGAGTGGCTAAAACCCATAGTTCTAGGGTTGTGATTTAGCCATGAATATTGTTATTTAAAGTTGACTTAACCTTAATTACATTTCACCAATATATGATTGTTTCTTCAATTCTATGATTAATTGCTTAATTGTCTAGCCAACAGTTAGGTTCTATTTACTATCTATGCTATGCGTGGAAAAACCATGTTTAGATTAGAGAAGAATTGAAGAGAGCATGATACTAACTCTGAGGATGCAGATTTGTGGTTAGGACAGGAATATACCTAGTCACCATGCTTAATTAAATATCGTAATTTTAATACATTCTTAATAGATTGATTCCATAGGAATATATGCGTTAATCTATTTTGAATAGGAAGGCTACGAGAGCAATTGTTCGATTAATTAGCAACAATGAGTGAATTATATGAAATGGAAGTTAATTAACGAACGCACAATAGGATTGATGAATCGATCACAACCTGAAATATTTGTCTCTACTGAATACACAATAACTATTTTGCTGCTTGATAATTTAGTTACTAGTTAGAATTATTGTTTAGTATAATCACACTTTTGTACTCTGCTTGATTCGACTGAATAATAATTTTGGTGAATTTAGTGGGTAGTTAATACAAGATTTTATGGATACTTGATTTATTATTTTATTACTTGTACGACCATGTATATTTGTGTATGCGTTTGGGAGGAACATTAGTAATGAAGGACGAGTAGACCAATAATCATGTCATTCTGTGTCTGGATTAGCTGATGGACCTCGGCCGGCCCAAGAGCCATGACTTATGCTTATTTGGACTTTCACTAAAAAGAGTCGTTTGATCTTGGGCTTCGTGGGTTAAAGTTCCCAGGCCATATCTTCCTCGCTCAGTCAGATCCAAATTCAATTAATTTTCATGACTCCTTGCCCCGGTAATTAGCTTTTTTATTTCTGTAAAAAATCTGCACTAAACTTCTCAATTGTCTA